AGTCTAACATTTGGGGCATACCAATCTAAATAGTCTTATAGTTCTTAGTAATCATTCTGTAAGAAAAATATATATTATAAATTAAGTAAACACTAAACTTTCGTCTTTACTATTCCAGAGGTTTTCTTCACTAATATATATATATATATATATATATATATATATAGGTTTAGTCATCATTATAACGCACTTAATCACTTCAGGATCTTGCAAGCAGACGACTTGCCATTACTTCGAATTAGTTATGATCAGACGTTCACGTCAACCATCATTTTGCAGAAATCTGATAACATATTGCAGTCCGGGATCTTTCCGCAAACAGACCATCGGCTGACCACCATTTCTACGTAGTTAGAAGTTCAAGTCAGCCATCATTTTACAGAAGTCTGCTAACAGATTGCAGTCAGGGATCTTTCCGCAAACAGACCATCGGCTGACCACCATTTCTACGTAGTTAGAAGTTCAAGTCAGCCATCATTTTACAGAAGTCTGCTAACAGATTGCAGTCAGGGTTCTTTTTTTTTTTGCAAACAGACCAACGGCTGACCACCATTTCTACGTAGTTAGACGTTCAAGTCAGCCATCATTTTTCGAAAGTCTGATAAAAGATTGTAGTCTGGGTCCTCGTCCACGTCCACTAAATCTTCAGAAGAGTCCTGTTTCCGAAAGGTCGGGTTGTACCGGGATAAGGAGAGAGGGCAAGGCAGCAGCTCTGGCATGACCGAGTGATGGGTAATGAGGGACGTGAGGGTACTGAATTCCTTAGTAAAACCCTGAAAAAAACATGTGAATGAATGACGTCATTTGACGTAGAAGAGAAAGAAATTACACATGTTTCTTGGACAGTGCAACATATTGAAACCTTGTATATTCTATGAAAATTAAAATAGCTTTTCTATGTTATTAGATTAATCCCTAATATCATAATTCATCATACTAATGGAAGTCAGTTTTTCCCAAATAAACTTCTAATGTTATCTTGATAACATCTCGATTAACAATGGTATGAATCGTGCAAAGTTAAAGTTTCTTTTTATGATGGTGAGACGTACGTTCGAACACATTAGTGTTTTTTTATGAACTGAGGAAACTAAAATCAAAGATGTTGATTTGGGTTTGGGATGTTAAGCGGAAAGCTGTATCTAGCGCCATAAATGTACAGATTTACCACAGAGCCATTGAATGACGATTTTTCTGGTGTTCTACTTCAAAATTAACACCGTCATGTTTATTTTACGGAATTTTAAAAACTAAGAATCTTTAAAGATGGTAAAAGAATGGGTAGTTTAACATTTCACATTCTGGTAGCCACTGTTATTCGTTAAAAAAAAAAAACATTTTCAGTTCAGATTTACACCATTGTTTTAACTGCAAAGAATAATGAAAATGTGAAACCTTTAACACCTTAGTTCAAACTGTTCGTAATAACACTGTAGACCTTAAAAACGTTAGTTCAAACTGTTCGTAATAACACTGTACACCTTAAAAACGTTAGTTCAGAATGTTCGTAATAACACTGTACACCTTAGAAACATTAGTTCAAACTGTTCGTAATAACACTGTACACCTTAGAAACGTTAGTTCAGAATGTTCGTAATAACACTGTACACCTTAGAAACGTTAGTTCAAACTGTTCGTAATAACACTGTACACCTTAGAAACGTTAGTTCAGAATGTTCGTAATAACACTGTACACCTTAGAAACGTTAGTTCAAACTGTTCGTAATAACACTGTACACCTTAGAAACGTTAGTTCAAACTGTCCGTAATAGCACTGTACACATTAGAAACGTTAGTTCAAACTGTTCGTAATAACACTGTACACCTTAGAAACGTTAGTTCAAACTGTTCGTAATAACACTGTACAACTTAGAAACGTTAGTTCAAACTGTTCGTAATAACACTGTACACCTTAGAAACGTTATTTCAGAATGTTCGTAATAGCAGTGTACACCTTAGAAACCTTAGTTCAAACTGTTCGTAATGACACTGTACA